TGGCAGTCTACTATACATTCCAAGTAGAACCACAGATGATGATAAATGCTACCATCCCACTTTTTAGCTCCCTAAGGCTTTCCATTTTCAGGACCTCTCCAAGACGTATCACTTTCTTTCTTTCAGCACACTTAAAGGGTACGCTGGGTTTTTAGAGGGTAGTCTCTTAATCCAACAGAACAACTATTTTGATTATGCCACCATTTAAAAAAACAGTTGCTAATAACTGGATACTTCTTTAAAGATAATACACAGGGAGTATATGGCAGTATTAAAGTTATATTTATAGTTCAGCTAACTTTCCCCCTTATTGCTGGAGGGGCTGCTGGGAACATATAATATGTGGTGGTCATGTAACTCTTAGATTGCAGCTCTATGGAGAGATCTCTCAGACAGGTAGACAGAATGTCATCCTGTATCCACGTCTATCATTTGGGATTTTTCAAGGATATAGTAAAAATCAGCCACACAAAAACCTTACAGTCACCCTTATCTCTGCTGCAAAACAACTGGAAGTCTTTGTATCAAATCCTAGAGTGGGGGACGAAACACTGATGGAGAAGTTAACTTTTCATCTACAGTGCAGGAAAGATCACTCATAAACTCGTAACTTTACTGCAAAATGGTCAGTTTCCATGCTGTATGTTAATAAAACTGTTAGACCTACTTCAATTCTTTTTGAGATGACACTGCTATTGGTTAACTGGAAATGCTACATGCTTTGTAGTTTGAAGATAATGCACCTAGTGTTATATTTTGTATATTTTATTTAGCAAGACTTTAATACTGTTATTTATTGGTTTATTTGCTTAATTTCTCTGTGAGAAGCTCTGTCTTAACAATTGGTTGTGTGTATATTTGTGTCTTGGCTTACCTGGAAACCACCTAATAAGTATCTTTAAAATGTAAAACTGATGCTATGAAAACATTCCCCTAAATGGTATTTGCTAAACTTCAAGAACATGAACACCAAGAATTTTAAATGCCATTTAACTGTTGATTCTATCTCCTAAATGTGATGTGGAAACATAATGCATTATCAAATATTTTTGTAGTTTATTGGATAGGTGTTTACTGCCCAGGCATACCAGCCTACTGACTTGCTTGCTACACCCTACAGTTGGTTGGTGTCAATTTTATCTCAGTGTAGCACAAGAAAGCCCCAAACTTTGCTGATTTTGAAGCTGTGGCCCACCCTATCTTTAACAGAGGAATATCTCTAGGTCCTATCAGGTGTTACACTAGTGTTGTAGGATGAACCCAAGGATAAGCACATAAAAGCAGTGAATTATTTATAATGTTCAGCAATTCTTTATAAGCTGCTGTCTCCATCTAGTAGAAAGAGGTATCCATCAAATCCAGCAATTCATTTTCTGTTGCTTATGCTGACAGAGTACAAATGCACATCTTTGAACATATAAAGTGCTTTGAATGGCTCAAGCACCAACGGTAGATTTTACCTGGATGCTTAAGTACCCACTGGCTGTGCTCAGGCTCCAACTAATGTGCAACTCAACAGTGAAGCATTCAACAGTACGGTTTTGGGTTGGAAATATAAGGCTATTGTGATAGGTAGCGATTAAACATTAGAATAAGGTTCAAGGAGATAATTCACGAAAATTGTAACACAAATGCAGTGCGATATAATTGTTCTTTTAGGAGAACCTACAGAAAGTGGAACTAGCCATGAGGAAATAATCGGAATGCACCTTAGCTATATGAACTCATATTTCTGTATGTAAGGAAGGTTTTTGTTTTGTTTTTCCAAATTGGGGCATGACCTGTAACAAGAGAGGCGCAACAGGAAGTGCTGCACAGAAAGTCCCTACTTACCAAATACACATCTGCCACATTCGAAAAGCTGATAAGGAGCAGCTTGTTTTGTAGTTTGGTCTAGCTGATCAAGCAGAGATTGCAAAAAGAACAGAGATCAAGACAGAGCTGAACTGCCAGGGAGGAGGAGAGGGCTGGGAGGAGCAGCTAATCTGTCTCGACTATGAGGCCACATCAACTATCCAATAGACAGAAGCAGCTTTCACAAAAGCCATACTGCCTGACTTCTGGCAGCTCGACTGTTACAGGGAGTGACTTGCAGAAATCATGCTGTCCTCAAATAGTCCTGGGGAGGGGAAGAGTCAGAGGAACAGGAGAGAGACAGCTCCAGCAACACCCAGTCCCAGTGAAAGCAAAAGCAGCTACAAGGCCAGGGATGGCAGGCAGAAAGCAGGCTGCTGACAAACAGAGAATGACAAACAGAAACTAGACAAAGGTCAAGAACTCTAATTAAAAAAAAAGGAAGTTCAGGAACAGGAAGCCAAAGCCATGGAAACATGGTGGAACCTTATGGCACAATCTTATTTAGTTCCCTCTAACCACATCAGGTGGGTACCGGGTAGCCATGTTGGTCTGAAGCAAGAGAGCAAAGTCTGAGTCGAGTGGCACCTTTAAACAAAGCTTTACTTTAAACAACCTTTAAACAAAGGTTTAAGCTTTTGTGTTCAGATATCTGAAGAAGTGTGCAAGCACACGAAAGCTTATACCCAGAATTAAACTTTGCTGGTCTTAAAGCTGCCACTGGACTCAAACTTTGTTCTAATGCTTCTGATATGGGTTCTCCTGGTAGAGCCTTCAGCAGACTGCCTCCTGTTTTGATGGCACTGGTGGCCACTCTTCACAGGGGGTTGGGAAAGGCTTAGCAGTTCATTTCAGATATTTTTAAAATGAGCGTTACTAAACTCCACACAAAGAACCAGGGATGAATCCTACCACACAAAAACGTGTGCTTCGTTAACACACTCAAGTTTTTCTTGTAATACTTTTGTGTTTGTTTTCCTGAAGTGTTTCACCTATAAAAGTGCCGCAAAAGGGAGCCCCCACAAAGCTGCGCTAAAGAAAACTGAGACCAGCGTGACTTCTGCTTTTCACTAAAGCATTCGCATTAACTTCTCCTTTCCATTAAGGAAACTAACAACCCACACTACCCTTTAACCAACAGTGCCCTTCATTCAAGTGGCAAACTAATTGAGAAGGCAGCTGGGGAAAAAGATCCACATTGTTCTTCGACAAGAAGTAATTTTTTCTACCATGTTCTGTAGCAGCAAAGATGACCAGTAGCCTAGAGAGTAGAAGACATCCAAATCCTCCTTGCTACACAGTTCTCTGGTTCTAAAAGAGAATCCTAAAACTGATTTTACTAGCACTGTTATTTCCTCTTCTAAAAAAGCCACAGAGTACATACAGTTGCTTTGTGAAGCTGCTGGAGATTCAGCAGAATTCTCAGCATCTTTGCAAAAGTACAGTTCTCAGAGTTCTTTGAGATGGGGAGCTATGCCATATATCTTTGACAGTCAAGTGAAATACAAAACATATTAACGCCGGCCCCTGGTCTAGTCATATGACTGCTGAAGAAAAACAGATAAAGTGAAGGTGGTAGAGCTCAGTGGAGGTGAACATACTTTACATGCAGGAAGTCTCATGTTCAGACCACTGCATCACCTGTTAACAGTATCCCAGATAACAGAAAAAGAGCAGGAAAAAACCCTCTGCCTGAACTGAAGAACAGGTGCCAGGGAAACCTCCCCCACAGCAGTGGACTAGAAGAACCAATGACCTGACAACATAGCATTACTTCAGATGCATCAACAATTTGTGTGAAAGATTCAGAAACCAAAAGGTAACCACTTCCTTGGTGCCAAGAGGAAATTCTCCATAACCTAATTTCTCCCATGTTTGCTCTTCTCTTTGCTCTTGGCTCTAGCTACTAGCAAAAGCCTTCTCCCACCCAATTCTGAAGTCTGCACATAAACTAAAGTATGCCTATAAATGAAACATACCCTGCCAACTCAAACAAATCTGTTTGTCTATTGACATTACAAAGTTTTGCTTTCAGGTTGCACAATGTTTGCAGCACATTTACACAACTTCTCACAAATTCTTATATGAGATGGGTTTCAGCATAGTGTTAATGCAGAATACACAAGGAATGATTCATGGTAACCAGTGACTGAATGCCAATAAAGCTGGTTTTATAGAATACAAGAAAGAGGGTAGCAATGGGTGACTCTTTGGCCAATGCTGCGATAAATAACTCTTGTGTTCACCACCAAGTAGCTTCCTAATAAATGCCAATATGTGAGTCCCAAAAACCTTTAAATGCATTCAGAATGTCAGTGCCCATCACACCAGACTGAGAATTGCCAAGACTTTTCCAATCCTACACATATTAATTCAAGGTTGCCTTTTTAAAGACCATACTCTAATTTACTTTACAGCATCCACCTGTGTTCCTTAAGGACTACTGTGTTTTACATTCATGGCTGGAGGATCACATTATATGCCAACCACAAAAGTTAAAGTCACAGCAAAAGGACCTGAAAATCTACACTTCCTTTGCGTTAACCATTCAGATCTGCAGAGTACACAGAAGTAGCCAACTCTCATTAGCATTAGCTCAAGGGTTCTAGCATCTAAGCACCCTAGGTAAAGCAAACAGTATATGTGAATTTATTTTGCCCCATAATTAAGTGCTGTTCACTTATGCTTGACTTGAAGTAAAGCTGAACAAATGTTATTAATGTCATACAAGTTTGAGACCTTTTGCAGAACAGTTATTACAAAATACTGATTTTGGTATCTGGAGCCCTATGGGACCAGAACTATAGAGTTTCCCCATGAAATACCCTTCTATATCAATGAAGGCAGCTGATAGGGTCCTGCTCAAAAATCTCTCCTCCATCAAGGGATTGGCTAGGAAATAATGACAGCTCTAATTACTACTCTAAATTGGGATAGGTACTCGTGAAGGAAGCCCTATGGTAGGTGCCAAACAGAACCTGAGTAAGGAAAAGACAGTGAGTATGTACATGTCCTTTGAGTTACCTGAAAGGATGCTGCTTGAGATACAGAAGTCTGGCAGAGTTTTGTGAATGTACCCAGATGGTTCTGCATTGGCCCAAATAGATTAGCAGTAACAGTGAAAGAGTACTTTGTTGAATGCTTACCTGTATCTCTCTTCCTGCAACGCCTGCATTATCAAGGAATAATCCCTCTGATAGAGCGCCTTGAGGTTCTCAAAGGATTCCTCCAGCCGCCCTTGAGTCTCTCGGATCTCTTGAATCTCATGGAGTATTGCATCAAACCCTGAGCTCTGCATATCCAGAGTGTTTGTTTTGGAGCTTGGTGCTCCCATGGGGATCCCTGTGGTGCTGTTGGCTCCCACAGAGCCTGATGTGGCACTGGAACAATCTTCCTCACTACCATATTTTGGGCTCGACTGAAAGTTATGAACACCTAAAGTCTTTCCCCCAGTCCCATCTTCTTGACCTTCTTCCAAGGAGTCCTTCAGGTTAGCTATATTGTCTGCACTTCCAAACTTGTTCCTAATGAGCGAGGCGATCTCCCGAGGTTTGGAAACAACAGCACCTGCTGCTGAATGTGTTGCCTGGGAGAAACTAGAAAGTCCACCCTTAACACTGTCTACCACTCCTTCGCTGAAGCCAGTGACCTTTGCCCCCACATCCTTCAGCCCCTGGTGCATATCCCTCAAGACATCTTTTGGCTGTCGAGGGATGCCATTCTGTTCAATCTCTCGCAACTTCCGATGGTAGTGCTCTAACTTCTTCTGCAGCTGGAGGATCGTCTGGGCTGACTTTTGGTTCTTCTTCTCAAACACCTGCTTGATACGAGCACTCTGCTGCTTGTCAGCATTGTTGGCTAATTTCAAGTACTCTGCCACGTTGTCATCCCGAGCTGTTTGCTCTATTTTGATTTGCTCCGTCAGCTTCAGGATCTTCTGCTGCAGGTGGGTGATGGCCACTTTTGTGCGTTGAGGATCTGGTGTTCCATCAACAGAGTCTGCATTGATGCTGCAGTCTGTGCTTGAGGCCACTGCGCTAGATGTTTGTGCTAGGCTGCTTACATCTAACCGTTCGATCTGGAGAAAGAGTGGAGGGAAACAAATTAGAAAAAAAAAGGACCTATCTTGATCATACAAAAAAAGCAGCAGGTTTTCACTGGTTTCATCAAACAAGAGGTCTCGTTTGCTAGAGGTTTTACTCTTTAATTTTCAGGTGAAATATTCCCACCCTTAAAAGCAAGCGAAAAGAATACTTGTAAGCATCTCTGCTAATTTGAGCATTTTGAAGGATGTAATGAAGGAACTTCAACCAACTCAGTTAAGCCTCATGCAGGATTCATTAAAGCAACTGGCTAAGGCACAAGGAGACAATAGAATAAATAGCACGACTGAGTGTAGGATAGAGAGGGTAACAAGACTATGGGAACTATTTTGAATAAAACAAGTAGCAAAATAAAATGCTTTTGTAATCCACTGTAAAATAAACAGTTTATGTAAGCACACTCATGTGGTATGAGTACTTCCTTTGCATGGCTTATTGTACCAACACCAAAGTGGGGTATCCACCCCAGAAATAATATGCTGGTACAAGAGGTGAAGGAGATGTTGAGAAAAGGAATGAGCTTATTTTGTATTTAATAACGTGAGGTACATATATGTCAAGGCAGGATTATCAGATTTCCAGATAACCCCCATCAGTTTTTGCCATATCTGTGTCCAAAACCTACATCAATGGATACAAAGTACACAAAATCTACAGCAACAAGAGATACTGAAACTGCCTCAAAGCAGAATATATTTTGTACACAAGCCTCTCGTGTATACTAGTACTCATCAAGTGATAACTGAATTAATAACCTTACACATATGGGCTACTCTTAAACAACACATTCAAAAAGTCTTAATGTTTATTCCCCCTCCCAAGTCTTCCAAACTTTCCTCCTGTAATAAAGAAAGAAAACATTCTCCCTTCTGCAGCCTACCTTGGCCTTTTTGAGGCGTAATAGCTGTTCCCAATGCATGTCTTGAACAAAAGAAACATGCCTACCATCGCTCTGCCGAAAGTTAATCCATACACTCACATATACACTCCCTGAACGTTGTAAAACAAAGTCTCAAGGAAGGCAGCTGAAGACAGAAACCAATGAATCATTTAATTACTCAGCAGCTCCTCCCCAAACCAGGGGCACATTAGCCGGCCTTGAACACGTGTATGAAAAATAGCAACATGACATCATTAGAGGTATGGCCCTTTCGCTCTCTCTTTCTTAAGCAGCAGTCCAAAGAAAAACAAAGTAAACTGTGAAGACTTGCCAGCAGATGGAAGACGAGTCTGTCCTATTAACACACAGGGGCGAGAACCAAAACATTTTCTGAGCCAGAGAAGGCATTCCAGGTTAGGGCAGAAAGGGCAGGACTACACTTTTAAACTCTCCTCCCCTCTCTGTGAAGGAAATTGGTTACTTAAGCAACAGTTAAATTTTAAAAAAAGTTTCCAGAGAATGTTTCCGTTCCAATCTCAACCGGAACTCAAATAAGCAGCTGTGCAGACATACACATATATTGTTTATAAGTGCACATCACAAAAGTGTGCTTCTTTTTGGGGGGGGTTGTGTGAAGGAAGGGGATTAGCAACCCCTCCATCAAGCAGATTTAAACAAAAACTGAATAAACATATGTGTGCGCTTCCATGTTTAATTTGAGGTTTAGCACAAATTAAACCCCAAACGATAGTTCAACTCTGAGGATGCTGAGATCTTTATTGGCCTCATGCCCCCCTAGAACTAACCTGCTGGGATCTGAAGACAGATTAACTGTACTGTAAACCTGAACACTGGAAGGCTGCCTGATCATCAAAAGGTGCTTTACAATCCATCCACCCCCTATGTCCTTACAGAAGAGAACTCTGGAGCTTCTTTTCCACATTCCTCTGCAGAGGTGAGCACGGAACCCACTCTGGTTTTACTGACTGTGTTTGTGCCAATATTGAGGGGAAAAACAGGGGAACAGCTTTAGACGTGTGATCAAATTTTATGTTTCATCTCCCTTTCAGTCAGAAACCCCAAAATCAAATGGAAGAGGATTCTGTCAACAGCTGTGAACTGTGGGAGCCCATGAGAACATACGAACATAAGAGATGCCAATGTTGGATCAGGCCAAAGGCCCATCCAGTCCAACACTCTGTGTCACACAGTGGCCAGAAATACCAGTGCCATCAGGAGGTCCACCAGTGGGGCCAGGACGTTAGAAGCCCTCCCACTGTTGACCCCCCCCCCCCAAGCACCAAGATGACAGAGCACTTGCCCCAGAGTCCCTATCTATACCTTGTGGCTAATAGCCACTGATGGACACTTATCTAATTCCCTCTTGAAGCCGTCCATGCTTGTAGCCGCCACCACTTCCTGTGGCAGTGAATTCCAAGTGTTAATCACTCTTTGGGTGAAGAAGTACTTCCTTTTATCCGTTCTAACCCGACCACTCAGCAATTTCATGGAGTGTCCACGAGTTCTTGTATTGTGAGAAAGGGAGAAAAGTACCTCTTTCTCTACCTGCTCTTTCCCATGCATAATCTTATAAACCTCAATCATGTCACCCCTCAGTCGTCGTTTCTCCAAGCTAAAGAGCCCTAAGCGCCTTAACCTTTCCTCATAGGGAAAGTGTTCCAACCCTTTTATCATTCGAGTTGCCCTTTTCTGCACCTTTTCCAAAGCTATAATATCCTTTTTAAGG